TTCATTCGTCTTTCTTTCTTTCCTTAGCGAAAATATGCCCCAAAGTCTGAAAAGGTTTTTGAGCCACTTTAACGTTGTGTGGCTATTCAAAATTCTCTTGATGGGTTCGGTAACACCTTGAATGTAAGGGATAACAGCAAAACCAGTCGCTGGTTGCCTTTCATCAAGAGCGTTACTAGTTGTAACTGGTTTTTGGCAGTTACGGAGAAAGGTTTTTGTATAGCCATTTGCCTTTAGGATATTAGAAACATATTTCCTCTCCTCAGCCTTCGAATCGAGTGAAGATGGTAGACAGTCAGCCCTCCTAAGTAAAGTTTTGGCTACAGACTTTTTACGGCAAATAGGGTGGTGAGAATCGAAAGCGAGGCATTTTAACGATAAAAATAGAACTATATTTAATCTGAAATATTATAATAATAATATTGGTGTTGGGAAAAATGGAAATATTATATTACTTTAAGCCATTCGATACAAATTATAATAAGACAGGTTGATTATTTCTTATTCCTTTTGGCGGTCTCATCTAAGTACAATTTCTTTCACCTTTTAATTTTCTTATTGCGGTTGTGAATTTGGTACGGAAACAGTTGCTCCGTTTCTACGGTGATTAGATCTTGTTGTACTATTTTGTGATAAGCTATGTTTTTAATTATGTCAATTTTTTAGTTGTAAATCTCTCTGGTAAAAGTTAACCTCGCACAGGAATTCCTGGAAACTCCTGCTTCTTATACTACTGATTACTTTCAGACTGGTTTTTTTTGGTCAAATTCTAAAGTCAAATTCACGATTCCAGAATATTTCTTAAAATTTAAATCAACACCTTCAACACCTCTTCTTAAAGGTGGCTCTGATTGTAAATAGCTTATGCTTTGTCATCTCCGCACTGAATTTGTAATTATATAACTTATGCGAATAGCACGTAGTTTTCTAAGGGGTGGTACCTTGGGACGCCCCTTCTTCTCCGAATTTTTTGTTTACTCTGTTGTTATATAACAATCCTCTAAGGCTATTTTCTCGTAAACTAT